ACTGGCCGAGGAATTCTGGGAGTTGAAGTCCACAAGTCTTAAAGTTGCCAAGTTTGGGGACCCCTGGTGTAAAAAAAAAGGTCCTTCTGGCTAGAAATGAGACCTACAGGCCGGAGGTCCCCATCTATGCATTGGCTTAGCTCAAGGACAGCAGAAGATACTTTGATAGCAGAGAAACCATGAGGTTCTGGGAAGAATTGAAGAAGCATCGGGGGTTATAATCAAGCCGGAGAACACAAAAAGGTCTCATTTGGGCAAAAGATGGTTTCTAGGAAAGCTACCTGGAAATGTGAAGTTTGGGCCTTACCTGCTTGGAGAAGGAATCCTCCAGCTCCGTGATGTCATTGCAGAAGCCTCCAGAAGAGGAATGCAGGGAATCACCGTCCAAGCCGGTCCGGCAAGAGCCACCGTAGGGAAGGCCGTGATCCAGGAGATGAGGTCGAGCACTAGCCATGGAGCCCTCATCCAGAGAGGCAGGTTTACCTTCGAAGTAAGGGGCATTCTGGGCCTTGTCATATTCCTCAAATGAATATTGCATCCGCATATTGGACAGGATGATGCGCCGTGACATACGGCTCTCTGACGCCGAACTTCTTAGGCGCTCAAACTTTTTGTTCATGCGGTACTGGCGAAAGGCTGTTTGAATCGTACGAGCTGCCCGCCGGCTCAAGAAATAGCCCCCATACTTCCGCTCCAGCATCTCCACCTTAGGATGGGCATCAATAGGGAGGAAGGATTTGGAAAAGAAAAGAGGGAGATGAGTGAGGAGAATAGGAAAATTGAAACATGAAGCTAAGAACAAGCCAATCACACCCCCCCCCCAAAAAAACCAAACAAACCCACAGTGGCTTCTGAGCAAGATATCACACTGGGTTTTCTCAGAGCAAAAGGATATTGTTAATTTCCAAAGAAATACATGAAGCAAGCTCAAACTGAAGCGGCCTATTTTAGCACAGCATATGCTGGCTCTTGGCTGTTATTATGTCTTCAGACCCTCAGGCACAAACTTTCCCACCACTTGTTATTTAAATGGAGGTGCTGGGGATTGACCTACAGCAGTGCTTCTTAACCTTGACAACTATTATACATTATGATGCATAATATTATATGTCAATACTAGAACATATGCTCTGCACATGGAAGATCTGTAGGTCAGTGTTTCTCAGCCTTGGCAAATAAATGTCAATGGAGATTCTCAGTCATCCATCCAGGTCATGGTTGTTCCAAAGGTGTTTTCTCAAGAGGCAACTGGACTTTCTGAGCTGCAGAAGCTTCTTGGCTAAGAAGAGAAACATCTTCAAAGAAAAACCAGAAAGTCTAGTTGCTTCTTGAAAAAAACACCTTTGTGTCAGCCTTGGCAATTTTAAGATGTCTGGATTTCAACTTGCTGGCTGGGGAATTCTGGGAGTTGAAGTCCAAACATTTTGAAGTTGCTAAAGTTGAGAAACACCGACCTACAGATGCAAAGCATATGCTCTAGTATTAAACATTCTCTCTTAGGGTTTCTGCCTTTGCCTGCCCTTCCAATTTACAGATATTGGATCTTTCAGTCTTTTAAAGAGCTTTTGTGGGACCAAGTTTTCCTATTTCGTAGATAGTTCCCATACTGGCTCAATCTACAAAACCTTTTACTGCAGCCTTCAGACAAATCAGGTCTGTAACTCTCAAAATGCCCCCACAATAATGCTGGCTCGTTGGACTTCAAGGAAGCCACAGGATTTGATTCCTGCACGTCAGGAACACCAGAAGCTCTCATAGCTCAGCAAAATCCACGACCAGATACCTTTTTGTCCTGAAGATCTGTTGAGAGCTCATAGCTGTCTGACAGTGCTGATCGTTTGCTATCCTCCTCTTCCTGCTTCCTCAGCGCCACGCTGGCTGGCTGTAGCCGAGCTCGCTGGGCCCACGGAAGCCCTGGTGACGGAGCGTGACAGACAGAAGAAGAGGAAGATGGCACTAAATCGTAGTGCTCAACCTTGGTTATTTCAGGGACACATCGGTATGGTTGACTGGCCAGACTGTCCACTATGGTTCCTGCCTCGCTTCCCGGAGGGTCTCCTTCCACACTGCAAGAAAGAGAAAAAAGGCTAAATGAATGTCCGATGAACAAAGGTTTTTTTTTTTAAAAAAAATCACAGATATTAAGTATGTACCAACACCATTTTGAACTCGGAACACTCCCCATAATATTTGAGACCAGTCATTTTGTGTTTGCAAGCAGTCACTTCTTTCTTCCCAGAATGGTGGTTTCATGAAACATTTTGCATTGCCTTCGCAGCAACTCATCACTTTACAGTATTGATGGGTTGCTGTGAAGGAAATGTATTTTATACTATTTGTATGCTATTTTTATATATTATAGACTGGCCAAATTAGCCATAGAGAACTACAATTAATCTGTTGCACAAATTCTTTCATTGAATGAATCTCCTGATTCTTCACAAGTCCCTACTACAGGTAGTCCTGACTGCTTTATTCGCAGACTGCTCAAAATTATGATGGCGCTGAAAAAGTAGGCTTACAATCAGTCTCAAAACTTGCAATATTCCAAAAATCAAGAGGTCTGGGAGCTTTGTAATAAGAATATATTTATGATCATTGTAGTGTCTTTTGGGTCATTAAGCACAACATCCTATGATCACTATTTATGACCTTCACTGCCAGCTTCCGACAAATAAAGTCAGTGGGGAAGCCAGCAGGAAATCGTAAATTGTGGTCACATGATGTGCTTAATGATATGTGGTGCTTCAGTTAATGACCACAGCAGAACAGATGTTCTAAGTCCAGCATGGTCATGTTTCATTTAGCAACCACATTGCTCAGCAATGGATCAGTCAGTCCCAATTGTACTCAGTAAGTGAGGACTGCCTGTAATCACAATAATTCTGGATTAACTTTTTCCCAGCAACATTTTGTTATCATTCTCCTGACCTAAGAAATAGACCCTGAAGCTTCTATTAGCCCCATTTGGAAAGCATGTATTAAAAGCATGAACATAGAACAAGAGATGAAGGTGGGGGAGGCTGAAAAATCAGAGGAATAACATGATGGTAAGAGTTAAACCATGGTGGATAAAAATAATTTTTTTACAATTTTTTTTTAAATTGGATTTTTTAAAATTTAAATTGGATTTTTTTATTTAAATCAGATTTTTTTTTATTTTAATGAAATTTATTTTACTAAAATGCTTTTGGAGTAAAAATCTATCTAAAGATAGTTTTCTATTTAAGATACATTAATAATTTAGTTTATTCAGCATGAAATGGAGCTTAGTTATGTAGCATGAGGCTGGATATTCTGCAATATTTACATTTTTGGTTAGCTCATTCAATGAATCCAAGCTCTGCAAGCTAAACAGGAAACCTTCATTTTCTTTGCAAATAATAATATTAAAGATTGTAACTACCAGCAAGAATGAGCCCTTACATTTAAAGAGCACCTGTCATTGCACATCCATCATGGCAGCTCCTGTTAGCGGGCATCCACTCACCTGCTGACTACCACGTCCCTCACCTTGTTGTGTTACTGCTGCATCACCAGCCATCCCATTAAAGTGAATGGGACTGTCAGTGAATCAACAGTAGGTCAGAGGAGGAGCTGCTGCGGGACAAAGATGACAGTTGCTCTTTAAAAAGTATGATTTAAATCGAGTTGATTTAAATCAAGCCTTTTTACTGGTGATTTAAATCATCAACTGGATTTAAATCAAATCTACCCTGGGTTAAACCTTGATCTAATCCACTCCAACTGTTTTGCATTTGTTTTTCTTATTTAGGGTAAGCAGTTCCTAGTGCCCTGTAAAACCTCAACTGGAATAGGTCACTTATATTTGTCAAAATCCAGAGGATGTTCCTTGTTTCTCTCAGCCTATGTCAGCTTGCCTGGGTTCTTCCAGGAGGATCTTTCCTAATGCTATCTCTGAAGACAACCACCTTTCCATCAGAATGGAATTTTTGTAAAATAAAAAATTTCAGGAGAGTTACAAGTGGATGGCAATATAACTGACCAAAGACAAAGGAAATTCTATCCAACACATCTACATCAACTGTGTGCATCAAATAACATATGCAGCAACACCACACTACAAACTCTATTCCTTTTGAAACGTGCCATGATGTCACATGCATATACATTGAAAAGCAGAAGTTATGATATCATGAAGAACATTTCATCATTTCGATGCAAACTCTGGATTCATCTGGATATCTCTGAATGTACCAAGAGGGAAGCAGATTGGAGAAGGCTGCTCTTTTCAACTTTTGCATCATAATTTTGACTTAAACAAGTCCAGACTCCCCTGAACAGGTGGATTCTTAAGCACCGTAAGCATGCATGTACACATCTGGTTTAGATAACTATACCTGGTCTAATAAAATCAATTATACCTTTCTAAAACTTCTGCACAGCTTGAAATCCACAAAAACGAACAAAGCTCACTTGACATGTTTGTAAATAAAATACTTACATTGGTGCCAAGGAAACTCTGGGCAAGATGGTTGCCAGGGACAACCAGTTATCTGGCAAGGGATGAATTGACAGGATGTGAATGTGAAATGTGGGGTTTCCTGCATGCAGAGGTCCAGACAGACCTAGACATGGCACTGGGTATTTGCCAACACCCTCATTTTGTAGTCTCAGGAAAACTCTCAAAAGCAAAGGATTGCGACTCAGCTTTTAATGCCATAGAAAATTGATAGATCACAAGTTATTAAGGCCTGCTTCAGGTTTACCACACCAAGAAAAGATACTCACTCCGTTGGGCAGAAGACATTTGCACTAGAACCACACCCATCCCTGACTGTATCTTTGCCCACCACCCAAATGTGTTCTCTTATTATCATCATCATCCATAATGAATGCAACTCTCAATAGGAAAAATGTTCCTCAACATCCTCTCATCTGCAAGATGGGCAGCTGCACAAACTAAATAAACAAATATATCCTAGAAAATATCAATGATGCTTGTAGTTGTACCCCACAGGGGGTAGATTAGTGCGGTCAAATAATCTGGTTTGCCATTCCTAAGGGATTTTTTTTTTTTTTGGTATTTACATTAAATTTATTAACAACTATAAAAAAAGAAGGGATGAAGTAGTTAGCCATTATCAGAACGTATT